TGGTGATGGTTTATTTGGTGAGTGTTATATAATTAAGTACCCAGTTTTTTGAAATATGGTATATTGAANTCAAGACTTGACATTTAAGAACTGTCTTTTCAAATATAAGGTAATGGTATTGTTTTGATTGGAAAATCAACAAACTATTTTCTTTTCATTCATTTGTCTTAAAATAAAATTAATTCAAAATATCTCGAAAAACAGAATATTAATTATCTGCGAGAACTGTCTTTTCAAATATAAGGTAATGGTATTGTTTTGATTGGAAAATCAACAAACTATTTTCTTTTCATTCATTTGTGTTAAAATAAAATTAATTCAATTCAAATTTATAAACACATTTAAAATACAGCCTTATTGTTAAAATAAAATTAAGATTTGTGATCTGAAATAACTCTAAATTAAAATTGCAAATAAAAATTTGTCGAATAATCGACATCTGAAATTAATTTTGTGATTAGTGCTACTCAAACCACTACTACTTATATACACTGTCTTGCATTTTTATCAGTCATGTTTTTTTTTCCGTTTGTAGGACATTAAAGAATCTGCCCAATGTCAATTGCTTTTCTGTCTTCAGGATTTTTTAGAAGTAATTAATAGCATTGTCCTTGTAGAGATCACCAAGCCTATTAACCTGAACCTGGTTTGGATGCCATTTAAGACCATTGTTCTGACATCCTCCCACTTCTAAAAAATTTTTAATAGCAGATGTTGGCATTGATCATCTTTCATCTTCTTTTTCAGAAGAAAACACGAGTTCTTGCAGTTCTGTTGTCAGATCAGTTTCAGGTTCCATTATGAGCTCTTCAATGTCATCTTCATTCACCTCTAATTCCAGATCTCTAGCAGTTGTTACAATTTCATCCATAATTTCAGGTACATAATCTCCACTTTCCTGAATGCAGCAGGGACACAGCTTTTACCAAGAAGAATTTAATTGTTGTTCAGGGTTATCCAATATGCTGTCTTGTTGGACATGTTTCTAGTTTTTTTCAATCCTTGGATGCAATTTTACATATCTTTGTGTGCAAAACTGTAAAAATCCACCTATTATGATTGTTTAAATGCCATTTCAATTTTTTAAAACTATTCCTACCCTTGATTTGCTTGAAACAAGAACACACTACTCTTACTTTGTGCTTTGTATACTTTTATTGCATATAAATACAGACATGTGCTAATTATCAAAATATATGAACGTTAAAGTACTATAGCTGCTTAATATAAATAACACATTTATTAAACAAATAAAATAATTATACTTAAAGATAAGAAAAATACAACACACGTGTATCAAGATATAAATAGATATGCTATATTCTAAACCTAACCTAACTCAAATGATCGAGAGAAATCTCACGTTGGAGAGAGAGATAATTATGGCAAGGGTTTACCTTGTAGGAAACGCTCTCATATTATAGGGCGTTAATAAAACACTCTGTGATCGTCGTCTTTTAATCCGAGGTGTCCTTTGAAGGCTATGTGCAGATGCAGTGTATGCTCCGTCGCTCCTAATCTGTAGAGAGTTCTTCCGTTAACCTCTTCGATGAGTAATTCCGTCGTATATGGAGAGAGTAGAAAATTTTCAAAGTCTTTTACCTTTTCGTGGAGCGGCGATTATGAGCTTCGTAGATCCTGAGAGTGCTGGAAGAGTAGTCCACTGCGTTCTCTTCCCCGACGATCGCTGTTGATGTGACAGATCGTTCCCCTTTTATACCCTTTTAGCGTGGGAAATCTCGGGGACTCCGTTGACGTATTTTGACAGTTCTCCCGATTTATGACAGTCTCCCCCGTCATAGGTGATGACAATGCAGATATCTCTACACCAATTAATATTAAATGCGTCATCACCTGGGGAGATGACTGACCATTTTTGGTAATGTTTCTCACCGCAAAGTTGACCCTTGTAGGTGACCTCTTGTCCACCCTCAACACAGGAACACATGTTTGTTTTCGTTAATTGGCTATACCGCAGACACCTTGTAATAGAGTAGTCTCCTGGGGAGAGGGGAGTTCTTCCACGGTCGCCTTGGACGACTTTGTCCGTCAAGGAGGTCATCTTCAGTAACTACGCACTTCATTGTCCAGGTTCTATTCCTCGGGCAACGGGGTGAGAACGGGAGAAATAACGGAAATAATGATGAAAGAAATATACAGCTTCCGTTTCATATTAAATAAAACTCTCATAAGAGAGTCAGATTTTCACATTATCAACATCTGTGTTAATGTTAACATTTTATCCTGCAGTCCAAGAAACAAGAAAAAAGGTAATTTTTTGTTTATCAACCTTTTAAGTTTAAGTTTTAATTTAAATAAATAAAATTATTTTTGAAAAATTATTATGATAACTAAAAATTAATATTATATGTTTAACTACCAGGGCTGTGGAGTCGCGTAAAAATCTACCGACTCCGACTAGGGGCAGACTTGTTACCGAAAGAGACCCGGAAATTCTGATGTCATCACGTGACCTCAGAATAAAATATTCAATAAATAGAGTTGTAATAAAGATTGGAATAAAAAGTTTCTACGCTCTAAGCTAAAAGACTTCTCTAAGTAATATATAAATATCTATTCGATAATTTTTACTTTTCCGGCTGTTATATACGTAGTGATAATTATTGAGATAGAGAAATACAAATGACAATAATCCAGTGTTCGTAACCGTCTTGATAAAATGATGATATTCTCGTCTTCATAACGTCTTTTTGTCCTTTCTCACTTTCGCGTCTTCACCAACTGTCGTCTTTTTCACTTCTCCCCTTGCTTTACTCTCCCTTGTTCTCGCCTCCCCTGCAACTCCTCATAAATTTTATTGTCTTAACGGTTTAGGAATGTTACTCGCCTAAACCCCACATTCGGCCATCCTGACAGCTGACATCGTCCTCGATGTCCTCGTCTGACCGGTCGAATACTTCGTTAGTTGAACGGACCCACACTTTCATGTTGTCAGCAGACGTAGACGTTTGCATTGGCCCTTCGTGATCACCTACCTTCTCGACCAAATATCTGTCATTTCTTAAAACTTTTCTGATTTTGTACAGCCCTAAGAACTTTGGATGGATTTTTAAGCCGGGGCCGTAATGCATTCTCCTTATAGCTACTAGATCATCGACTAGGAATTTGTTGGGTCGTTTCCTTTTCTTGTTAAATGTTTTCCTGTTCTCCGCTTGCAGTTTCTTAATGTTTTCTTTTGCCGTTGCCCTAATTTCATCCCTTTCTTCCTCAAAGCACAAAATTTTTTCTTTCTCGATCAGTTCTCGTAGTTCGAGGTCCTCTTTTAAATGCATTTTGGTACCAAGCAACAACTCGAAGGCAGACCTATCAATACTTCGGTTATACGAGGAATTGAGATATCAATTAGAGATGCCACGAATATTCGGCTACTATTCGGTATTCAGCCGAATACCGAATCATGAAAAAAGCCGCACATATTACTCAAAAACGTATTTATTTTAATCATAAATTATTACATTTAATACTTAAAATCTATCAGTGGTAAGTTGTAATGAATGAAAGCAATTTTTTCAGCATTTGTTGATAGCAAACGATTGCGCTTTTCCTCAAACTATACCTGCTTCTGAAAATAGCCTCTCACTATATACACTACTGCTGGGAGACAATAGATAAATCTTAGCGAATTTTCTCAGGCTTGAATACTGTTTTGCGTTTGCTGACCACCACTTGTAAAGGTCTGCTGTCCGATCTAGGCGAACAGTTTTCATATAAAGTGATAC